CTGAAAGTACCATGAGGTATGAGTGTTTGTCAGACGGTACCATGGTGGGAATGCATATAAAGGGGTTGACTATGTACGTGAAATTTTTATATAGTTTTTTATTTATTTTTTTTGGTGTTATACATACATACACGTATATTGTCTTTTTCTCTCTCGCTCTCTCTCTCATAAAAAATCTCTTTCTCTCTCTCTCCTTGTCTCTCTTTCTTTATTTTTCTATTAATCTTTCTCTCTCTCTTTCTTTCCTTCTTTATCTTAATAATTTATAGCATTTCACATTCATTTCTGTATGTCCCCTTCGCTATATTTCCATACGAATATCTACGTCTGCTATAACCCAGAAGACGTACCTGGTAATAAATCATCTGTGCATTTATAGATAGTTGAGAGAACCTGTAACCTGTAACAGGACTTCATTCCAGGTTATCTTATCAAGAACAGGTTTGTGAATAATGCTTGAGGCTGGAGAGACGATGCTGGGTTGTGTTATTCATCTATCTATTCATTTACTTACTTGTTTTGTTGTTATTTGTTCCGGATGTATGCCTATCTTTCTTTCTCCCTTTCCTTCTTTCTATGTCTGTCTGTCTGTTTCTCTTTCTCTCCTTTTCTCGCTCTATAACTGTGTCTGTGTGTGTGTGTATGTTTGCATGTGCGTTTATATATATATATATATATATATATATATATATATATATATATATATATATATATATATATATATATATATCATATCCTCTTTTCCTCTTTAGTGAATGTTCTTTAAAAGACATTCCTGTGTTTAAGACTTAACACCAACTCTTTTGTTCATTAGTGAAAAGAAGAAAAAATATTCCATTTTTAATCCGAATGCTCTGGGTAGGCTTTATCATTCGTTTTTTACTGTACTGGGAATTCTGAAATAAGAGAGGTATGTGGCTTTTCTATAAACGATAGAAGAAAGAGCGATATTACTATATGATCGGGATATATGATAAAAGACAAACTAAGTAATATAAAGGGAGTGAAAGAGAGGAGAAAATACAAAAATGAGATAAGAGTCAAAAAAAGACGGAGAGAGAGAGAGAGAGAGAGAGAGAGAGAGAGAGAGAGAGAGAGAGAGAGAGAGAGAGAGAGAGAGAGAGAGAGAGAGAGAGAGAGAGAGAGAGAGTTACCCAGACAGCTAAGCAAACCTACCCTTATACTAAAAACGAGAGAGAGAGAGAGAGAGAGAGAGAGAGAAAGACAAAACTTAAAACCAGAGAAAAGACAAGAAAATGAGAACGAAAAGGAAGCGAAATAAACACCAGAAGCACGGGAGAAAACACAACCCGGAAATAGTCCGGAGAGAATGTTGCCGGACCTCCAAACCCACCTTGGAGGAACCCGCCTACCGTTCCAATAGACTTCGTTACTCGGTCAAAATAACCCTTTGGTAGGACGAAAAAAAGGTCAATAATAATCCTTAAATTGCGTCTATATGACATGTCTTACCCTTTTCCTTTAAATCAGTTCAATTTAATCTTGATATCTGTCTTTTCAACGAGGCTTTTGTATGCGACGAAACGTACATAGAGGTAAAGGCATAGAGAATATACATGGGTGTTCAACGTAGCAGTCGTTGCCACCCAGACCAAACATGGATTGGGTTCTGTTGTTCTTACTGGGCGTGTGACCTTTGAATCTATATAGGTGACCTTTGAATCTATATAGGATGTATTTATGTGTACATTTGTGTATATCTGCAAATGATATATCTAGTGTATGTCTGGGAGCTGGGCAGGTAGCATATATTTTCCTTATTTAGATTATGGTAAACAGGTATGCTGCATTTATGTGTTTTCTTTACCTTACATTTATTTATTGTTATTATACATATGTTTTATTTTGTATGTTTGTTTATTCGAATCTCATTTTGCTTCTTATCAAACAAGGGAATTGTCTTCAATCTTTTAATCCGTTAATTAGAGAAATAAATTCGGAGGGAAAATGAGAAAAGAATTCACTGCAGAGATATAAAGTACACTATCTTTCCGGCTCTCTTACCTCGTCTGGTTCTTGAAGAATACTGAGATTCTTGAGTGATTCTGGAATGCTATTGTGTTCGGGTTATCTCGTGTTCTTCGTTTATCTATTCTCTTGTTTTTTGTTTTTTTGTTTTTTTTTGCTGTTCGTCTTTTTGTATGTGTGTGCTTGTTTTTTGTTTTGTTTTGTTTGTTTGTGTTGTTTTACGTGTGTGTTGTGTGTGCGTGCGTGCGTGTGTGTGTGTGTGTGTGTGTGTGTGTGTGTGTGTGTGTGTGTGTGTGTGTGTGTGTGTGTGTGTGTGTGTGTGTGTGTGTGTGTGTGTGTGTGTGTGTGTGTGTGTGTCTATGTGCGTGCGTGGGAGAGGGGAAAGGAAATGATTCTGCATGTGCGTGAGTGTGTTTGGTTTTGTATCAATCATGCATGTGTTTTATATAATTTTTTTTTTTATCTACGTGTGCTTTATATTTCCTTCTGTGCTTCTACATGTATATTTAAGCATAACTGAACGAATAACAGTAAAGCAATCATACGGACTCTTTGCATGACAGTTTCCCCGACTCAAAATCACCTTTTTTTGCATGTCAGAGCATGAGTCATAGAAGAAGGAAGTCTCCGGCTCGACAGCCATGACGAAGACGAAAAATACAAAAAAAAAATCACATACTTCTCTCCTCGCTAGTGACGTTATCTCTGTTTTTTTTTTTTAAGAAAGAAAGAATAATTTGCATCTGTTTTGTATTTACGGTAAATGGAGCCCCGTTATAAATCGCCCTTTTTTTCGTATATAGGAATTCTCTTTTTCAAATTACTTTTTTTTTTGGGGGAGAGGGGTTGTCTACGCGGAATTACCGAGGGAAAACTGAGGAACAGAGCAGTGTATTTTTAAGTGTGTGTTTTATGCAGAGTGAGAGAGACAGAGACAGAGATGGGGAGGGCTGAAAGACGAGTGAAATAAAGTAAAGTAATGGAGAGAAAGTGAGATAATGGGAGATAGAGAGGGGGAAAGGGAGTGGGCAAAGGATGAGATTAAGGGGTCAGTCACCTAGCCTTACGAAGAGGGAGAAAGGAGGGCGGCGGGGGAGACGCAGAGAGAGAGAGAGAGAGAGAGAGAGAGAGAGAGAGAGAGAGAGAGAGAGAGAGAGAGAGAGAGAGAGAGAGAGAGAGAGAGAGAGAGAGAGAGAGAGAGAGAGAGAGAGAGAGAGGAGAGAGAGAGAGAGAGAGAGAGAGAGAGAGAGAGAGAGAGAGAGAGAGAGAGAGAGAGAGAGAGAGAGAGAGAGAGAGAGAGAGAGAGCAGGGGAGACACACAGAGACAGACAGACAGACAGACAGAGAGAGAGAGTGAGAGACGGCCATAGCGCGACAGCGAGAGAGAGAGAGAGAAAGAGAGAAACCGACAGAAAAAAAGTCGAGAGAGAGAGAGTGTGCTGAGGAGCGAAAACGAAAATATAAGAAATGAGAAAATAGAAAGTGAAATAGGCAGAGGAAAAAGCGAGGAAAATGAGAACACAAAGAAACGGACAAATATAGCAGGTCACTCACCCAGAAAAAGAGAGAGAGAAAGGGGAAGGAGAGACAAGGAGAGAGCGAGAGAGAGTGAAGAGTGAGTGAGAGAGTGAGAGAGAGAGTGAGAGAGAGAGAGTGAGAGAGTGAGAGAGAGAGAGAGAGAGAGAGAGAGAGAGAGAGAGAGAGAGAGAGAGAGAGAGAGAAGATAGATAGATAAAGAGAGTAAAGATCGAAAGAGAAAAACAAGATAATGGAAAAGAGAGTGACAAACCGAGAGAGAGAAAACGATAGCACAAAGATAAACAAATAGACACATAAACAGATCGAGAGAAGGAGAGCCAGACCCAAAGAAAACCAGACAGACAAGAGAGACACACAGACAAAGAGAAAGACGAAGCGACACAGGAAGAGACCCAAGAGAAGAGAGAAACGAGAGAACCCACCCTTTCGTAATCATAAAAAAGTGGGAGGAGCTCTCGCCACGCTGTTATAGATTCCGTGCCTAAGGCGAAGGTTCCGAGACTCGCCTTCAGGACAGTCACTGACCCGACCTGTATGTTGTAAGTGGGCGGGACCGGCGTCTGTGGCTGGGACTACCCCCCCCCCCCTCCCTCCTCCCTCCTTCCTCCTCCTCGCCTCTGCGCTCTGTATGAAAGGGAGGAACAACGGGACTATAGGGGGAAGGGAGGGAGGGAAGGGAGGGAGGGGGGAGAGAGGGAGGGAGGACGGTGGCAGGAAAGGAAGGAAGGAAGGAGGGAGAGGGAGGAAGGGAGGGAGAGGGAGGGAGGGAGGGAGGGAAAGAGGGAGATGGGAGGGAAGGAGGGGAGGGAGGGAAATAAGGAGGGGGAGCGAGGAAGGGAGGAAGGAAGGAGGGAGAGAGCAAGAAGGGAGGGAGAGGGAGGGAGGAGAGGAGGAGGGAGAGAGGGAGGGAGGGAAGGTGTTCTGGATCTGTGCTATTTCGTCTGTGGTCGTGGTGGATGTGTTTTCTTTGTTTATGTTTGTTTGTTTGTTTACGTGTCTCTTGGTTTGTGATGTGGTTATCCCATTTAATTGCGTGTCTGTCTTTGTTGTCTATCTGTCGGTGTGAATGTTTGTCTGTATGTGTGTCTGGATATATTCTCTGTGTCTCGGTTTGTCTACCTGTCTGTCTATATTCTTGTCTATCAGTCTGTCAACATCTCTCTCTCTGTCTGTCTGTCTGTCTGTCTCTCTCTCTCTCTTCTCTCTCTCTCTCTCTCTCTCTCTCTCTCTCTCTCTCTCTCTCTCTCTCTCTATATATATATATATATATATATATATATATATATATATATATATATATATATATATATATATATATATATATATATATATATATGTATATATATATATATATATTATATATATATATATATATATATATATATATATATATATATTATACACACACATACACACACGTACACGCACAACACAAACACATACATTTATATATATATATTTATGTATATGTG